CTCAGGAGATAGAATAGATGCACCTGCCTCAGGATCTTCCTGTCGTGGCCTGAATAAGCAGGAGCCTGGTGGCAGCCATGGATCAGAAACAGAAGACACAGGGAGAAGCCTTCCTAGCAAGAAAGAACGATCTGGGAAGTCCCACCGACACAAAAAGAAAAAGAAGCACAAAAAATCCAGCAAACACAAACGGAAACACAAGGCTGACCCAGAAGACAAAAGCTCTAAGGTTGAGTCTGGGGAGAAGTCTAAGAAGCGCAAGAAACGAAAACGGAAGAAGAATAAGTCAGCCCCGGCAGATTCTGAACGGGGACCCAAACCAGAACCCCCTGGGAGTGGTAGCCCTGCTCCACCAAGAAGACGGCGGCGAGCCCAAGATGATTCCCAGCGGAGATCCCTCCCAGGTGAAGAAGGGAGCAGTGGCAAAAAGGATGAAAGTGGAGGTGGTGGCAGCTCTCAAGATCATGGTGGGAGGAAACATAAAGGTGAACCTCCAACTTCATCCTGCCAGCGAAGAGCTAGCACCAAACGGAGCAGCCGGTCCAGCCATCGGAGTCGACCCAGCAGTGGAGATGAGGATAGTGATGATGTTTCATCACGCCGGCTGCACCAGAAGTCTCCATCCCAATACAGTGAAGAGGAGGAGGAGGAGGAAGAGGAAGACTCGGGCAGTGAGCATTCCCATAGCCGCTCACGGTCTGGCCGGCGCCATTCCTCACACCGTTCCTCCCAGCGTTCTTACTCAAGTAGCTCAGAGGCTTCTTCAGACCAGAGCTGCTATAGTAGGCAGCATAGTTATTCTGATGACAGCTATAGTGACTATAGTGACCGATCACGAAGGCACTCAAAGCGCTCCCATGACTCTGATGACTCAGACTACACCAGCTCCAAGCACCGGTCCAAACGGCACAAATACTCATCTTCCGATGACTATAGCCTCAGTTGCAGCCAGTCCCGAAGCCGGTCTCGGAGTCATACCAGAGACCGCTCAAGATCCCGGGGCCGCAGCCGCAGCAGTAGTTGCAGCCGCAGCCGAAGCAAACGGAGAAGCCGTAGTACCACAGCCCACAGCTGGCAGCGAAGCCGCAGCTATAGCCGGGACCGCAGCCGCAGCACCAGAAGCCCTTCCCAAAGATCAGGCTCTAGGAAAGGATCATGGGGTCACGAGAGCCCTGAGGAGAGGCGTTCTGGTCGTCGAGACTTCATTCGCTCCAAAATCTACCGCTCCCAGTCTCCTCATTATTTCCGATCAGGTCGGGGAGAAGGCCATGAGAAAAAGGAAGATGGCAGAGGAGATGATAGTAAAGGGACAGGCCTACCCTCCCAGAACAGCAGTGTTGGCACAGGAAGGGGATCAGAGAGTGACTGCAGCCCTGAAGATAAGAACTCTCTCACTGCCAAACTTCTACTGGAGAAGATCCAGTCAAGGAAAGTGGAGAGGAAACTCAGTGTAAGTGAGGAGGTGCTGGCCACCCCAAATAAAGCTGGGCTCAAGCTCAAGGACCCCCCACAAGGTTACTTTGGGCCCAAGCTCCCCCCCTCTCTTGGCAATAAGCCTGTCCTTCCACTGATAGGGAAACTCCCAGCTACCCGAAAGCCCAACACCAAGAAATGTGAAGAGTCTGGCTTAGAAAGAGGGGAAGAGCAAGAACAGTCAGAGACAGAAGAAGGGGCTCCAGGGAATAGTGATGCCCCATTTGGACATCAGTACCCCTCAGAGGAAACCGCTGGCCCCTTATCAGACCCACCTCCAGAAGAGCCAAAATCTGAAGAAGCTACTACTGCTAATCACCCTGTGGCTCCACTAGGCACCCCAGTGCACTCTGATTGCTATCCTGGGGACCCAACCATCTCCCATAACTACCTCCCTGACCCCAGCGATGGGGACACCCTAGAATCCTTGGATAGTGGCAGTCAACCAGGCCCTGTGGAATCTAGCCTGCTGCCAATAGTGCCAGAACTTGAGCACTTCTCCAGTTATGCACCGCCCAGTGGGGAGCCTAGTATCGAGTCAGCTGATGGGGCAGAGGATGCTTCCCTGGCCCCCCTGGAAAGCCAGCCCATCACCTTCACCCCCGAGGAGATGGAGAAGTACAGCAAACTCCAGCAGGCTGCACAGCAGCACATCCAGCAGCAGCTTCTAGCCAAGCAAGTAAAAGCCTTTCCAGCCTCTGCTGCCCTGGCCCCAGCCACTCCAGCCCTGCAGCCCATCCACATTCAGCAGCCGGCCACAGCCTCTGCCACCTCCATCACAACTGTTCAGCATGCCATCCTACAGCATCATGCCGCAGCAGCTGCTGCCGCCATTGGCATTCACCCCCACCCTCATCCCCAGCCACTTGCCCAAGTACATCATATTCCCCAGCCCCACCTGACCCCCATTTCCTTATCCCACCTCACTCACTCAATCATCCCTGGCCACCCTGCCACCTTTCTCGCTAGCCATCCCATTCACATCATTCCTGCCTCAGCCATCCATCCTGGACCCTTCACCTTCCACCCTGTCCCACATGCTGCCCTCTATCCTACCCTCCTTGCCCCACGGCCTGCTGCAGCAGCTGCCACTGCCCTCCACCTTCACCCACTTCTTCACCCCATCTTCTCAGGTCAGGACCTGCAGCACCCCCCTGGCCATGGCACATGAGTTGGGGGATGAGAGCCCAGGTAGGACCAGGGAAGGTGACCCATAAGTCTTCCCTTGGGAGTGTTGAGCCATTAATACCAGCAAGTAGAAGCTGGGATGGGCAGTGTCTGATAGCCAAAGAATTGGGTTTTGGCTTGCAGGGGTGGTTTTAGATTTGAGGTTTGCTTTGGGTTCACTATCAGGGATTTCTCCCCCCTTTCCTTGTATCCCTCCCCCTCCTGTGTTTCTAGACTAGGAAACACTAGTAAGTGCTACCCACCCCTCTGCAGCAACATTTCCAGATGGTCAAGTTTATATGCTCCCCTTCTCCCTCTACTGTTTAACCTCTGCTCTTCCCTTCTATAAATTTTAAAACATTTTTCTCCTCTCTGGCCGGCGGGTTGTCCATCTGATCCTGCCTTCCCAATGTCTGACCATCCCTTGGTGACCTTGTGTTACCCTGGGTGAGGTGGAAAGGGAGTCAGACCTGGAATCAGATGCTACTCTGTTTTTGGATCCTCTTCCCACCTAAAGAGCCACACGTTTGGCACTGATGTCCTCGTGTCCCTCATCCCAGAAGAGACATCGGACTATCCCAGAAAAGAAGATCCTATCATGATTACAAGCTATGCGGAACACAGTTTCTCATGTGCTTTCCCAGGGAGGAGCTTGTATGTCTGAAGGGTGTATTTTCTTCTGTCATGTTGATGTTTCCTTCTTAATTTATAGGATTTTTTTAACGTAAAAAAATTGCACTGAACTCTATAAACGCAAATGCTGCTTTTTGTAGCTCATAAAAAAAGGTTCCATATTTGTAGTATACTGCAATAATATTTTTTACATCTAGCTCTTTAAGTGATCCTTGTTCTGGTGGCTTTGTGTAAATATGTTTGCCTAGTTGAATTAAGAAACTAAAGGTTATAAGATGAAAGCAAAAAATAAAGTATTTGTTTTCTGCTAGATGCAAAATGACTAAGCATGTATATTTTATCAAACTCATGTATTTTTTGAAGTTACGAACTATAAAAATGTCAGAGCAAAAAAGGAACATTGTTTAACATTTTTGCTGGGACAAAATGTTCAGTAATTTACATTAAGTGGTGCCCCCAGCACTGGGATGTTTGAACTAATGGGCATCAGTCAGCTGGGGGTTCAGAGGAATACTCAGTTATGGTGGTCTTCATATGCTTTGTTTTTGTTTTTTACAGAGAAACAGGTGGGCTCCACAGAGGAGGAAAACATTCAAGAGCTTTATTTGAAAGCAGTGAGATTCAGAGTGATTGGGGGTTTCTGATGCCTTGTTCTAGGCAGTCCATTTGCCTTCCTAGTACTTAGCCTCCTCTGATAATTTTTTGTTTTTTAATGTGCCTTTTTGGTTGGCTAGAAACAAGTAGAAGTAGGCTGGGGGATGGTAGAGTTCCGTTTTCTTCCTCCTCTTGTTGGGACATGAGCACATTTATAGATACTGCAAATTCTTTTGCTTCATAGTTTCCATGCCTTCAGCCCAGTTTAGCTTAAGCAGTAAAGATTCCTTTTCTCTTCTGTGACACCATGGCACCTACCAGAGGAAATAACCACCTCAGTTCCTCTTCCTCTTCTTGCTTTTCACCCAGGTTTTCAGACCTAATTAACACCCTGACCCTAAAGTGTTTATATTGCAGTTCTCACCATCTTTGGTATAATTAGTGGATCCCTGTTTGGCATTTCCCTGCCTATTCCTGTGGCTAGAATTGGTTGGGTGGTCACCTGACAGGAAAAACAAACCCTACTTACCTGGGCCAAGGCTCTGTGTTCTGCCTTTCTTCTCGAATTCCCAAATGGAAAAGGTTTTGAGTTTATGAGAAGCAAGTGCTGGACAAACAAGGCTCTTGACTGAGCCTCCTACCTGTTCAGTGCTCCTCACGTGGTTCAGAAGCATCACTTTTTTGATAACTAGCACTGGAAAAATGAAATGTCTTTGACGTGAAGGGACTCATTTTTCTTTGCTTTCATGAAGCCCATGTAAATAATTTAAATAATACAGTATTAACATTTTTGTGCTATTGCCCTTCCCATTAGCTTGTAGATTGAGCCATACTCTGGCTGCCTCTGCCTTCCTGGGGGCAGTTTTCTTTAACTTTCAGAATAGTGATTTTAAAACTTTAAAAAAAGTAAAGAAAAACAAAATAGCCTACCCTTCCTTACAAGCATAACAGATTGTATTTAACTTTATCGCATATGATAGAGATATATATGCTGTAAAATTAGGGAAAGGAACTTTCTAATAAACCAATGATTTGTGGAAACTTAGCAGAGTCTGTTGTGATTGTTGCCCCATCCATTCAAGTTGGGAAGGGATGGAGTTAAGGGTTACAAATAACATCTTGTTTGAAGTGATCAAGGGATAGACTCTTGAGAACCAGTTTTTTATGATGTTTGGAATTGTGCTTCTCAGAGCTCAGGCTGCCCAAGTAGAGAGAACAGATGATGATGTGGGAGGACGTATAGTAAAGCTTCTCAGTCTTAAGTAGGTGCTTTGGAATGTGCACCTCTTTCTCACACGAATTTTCTATTTCTGCCTTACCTCTTAGGTATGTAATCTCTGTGTAATACGGTATATGGCATGTAGGGGCTCACTAATAAGTAAGTGGGTTGGAATTCCTGAGTTTGATTTTTAAGATTTTGGATAAACTTCAGGGCAATGGAATTACAAGAGTCATCTGCCTGGCCTTTGCCCTCCAGAAGTAGTTCTGTATACCAGAACCAGTCTTGAATTATTCTCCTCAACCCTTTAATACCAGTACAGTACTTGAGAGCTACCTGGTGAAAGGAATAGGCCTTGTTACTGAGCTGATAAAAGCCTCTACTGTATCAAAAAATCACAAAAGGGAAAGTTTAGCATCAAAGCTAGTCACATAGATTTGCAGGGATAAATTAGTTTCCTCTCTCTTCCTCAGTCTTTCAGGAAGGAGGAGTACAATGTCTATTTCTTTCCTACTCTCATAATAGCTGTGTTCTCCCCTTGACTGAAGAGAAGCTATTCAACATGAACCTTGGGTTGGATGCTCAGATCTGCCTATTTTCCTAAAATAGCAAAATTCCTGCCCAGAAAGAAAGGATGTTAAAAAAATGAAAAGTAATGTTCTGAGCAGGCAAGGTGCCAGTGAAAGCAGCGGACTGGCCTGTAGAGAGTGCTCTGTGCAGCTGCCTGCCTCAGCCACCTGGGCTTGCAACATGGACATGCCTCTTCTATACCCTCAGTGACTAATCCAGGCCTTGTCAACCATTTCCATTCTTACCAGAGACACCTTCACTTCCCCTTTATCAATTCATATCTGCATGTCTGCAGCATTTCCTGGCCGACCTCCCTGACTCTTAGGATATAATTCTTTGTCCCTTATAAGCTTACTGGCTTTTCAGAATCTGAGTGCAGTTCATTTTGTGTTCACTGCTTCCCAATAAAATTAGAAGTTCTGGGAGGATGGGGATTGATTCTTATACTTCCTTTTTTTTTTTCTTAATTCCTTAGAGTGTTTTACAGAGTTGAACATAAACATTTTGATTATATGTCCAAGAAAGATTTGAGCAAAGTAAAATACTACTAACTGAGGATTTTTATGCATCAGAGTTTAGAAAGGAAACCAAAGGTGATAAAATGTTTTTCTTTATATCCACTTCACCTAGCTCAGTGCCAGGCACATAGTAGAAGTTAATAATTGTGGACTAAATGAAGTCTTAGCAGAACTTTGAATTCATTGAGGATCCTAGCACTGTTGGCTGATGGGATGGAGAAGTGGGAGCAGTGTGTCAGCAGCACTCCTGCCTATTATCTCAGAAAGGAGACTAACCCAGCTCTGACCCCAGATGAGCTCCCAGAAGAACAGAATTCTTACTGAACACCACACTCCTCTCCCTTCCCAAATCCGATGCTCCACCTGTTCCCAATTTTAGTTACTGGTACCACTGTCCTACCAGCCAACAAGGCACCAAAGCTTCGAGTTACTTGACACTTCCCCACCACATCCAGTTACTGATTGTGTAATCTCTGCTGTCTCCCTTGTTCCTGCCATCTGTGCCCGGGTTTAAGCCTCATCCATCACCTTTAAACCAAGAGGATTGCAGTTGCTCTCCATCTCATCTTCCCAGTGAGTTCTGCCTTTTCCAGTTCCTTCTATCCACAGACAGTGTAATCGTCCAAATCGGAGCACAATTAGTATATCTCTTATTGTCTGACTTGGAAAAATCTTCATGATTCTCCATCTTCAGATTAAAGTTCGAATTCCTCGATAAGGCATTCAAGGACTTCGAGTTATTTGACCCCAGCTTTTCATTCCACCCTAATGCCCACTCTGTCCTCATGCTCGGGTCCACCCTATCCTAAGTCAACTACTTCCCCTTCCCTATAACTGACCTTTATGTCCTGCCACCCTAAAAGAGATTCTCTGACAAGAGTGTAATGGATAAGAACATGATTTTAGCCCTAGCCGGTTTGGCTCAGTGGATAAAGCATCGGCCTGAGGACTGAGGGTCTCCGGTTTGAGCACATGCCTGTGTTGCGGGCTAGATCCCCAACAGGGGGCGTGCAGTAGGCAGCTGATCAATGATTCTCATAGATGTTTCTCCCTCTCCCTTCCTCTTTGAAATCAATAAAATAAATTTTTTTAAAACATGATTTTAACCCTGGCCTATTTGGTTTGGTGGATAGAGTGTCAGCCTGCAGACTGAAGGGTCCTGGGTTCAATTCTAGTCAAGAGCACATACCTCGGTTGCAGGCTCGATCCCCGGGGCACTTTCGGGAGGCAACCAATCGATGTGTCTCTCATCAATATTTCTCTCTCGCTCCCTCCCTTCCACTCTCTGAAAATCAATGGGAAAAATATTCTCGGGTGAGGATTAACCAAGAAATAAAATCCTTTAGAAACAAACATGAATTTAAGCACAAACATTTGAATCCACACATTGGCCGTGTAAACTTGGGCAATTTGCCTAAAACTCTGTGCCACAGTTTTGGCATTTATGAAATGGGCATAATAGTACCTATTTCATAGGAGTTGTTATGAGGAGTATGTGATATAAATGATTTCAGCTAGACATAATCACCCTTTTCAAGGCATTCTTTACTCTGCTGCAGTTGTGTGTTCATATCTTAACTCCCTCCTAGACATAATCACCCTTTTCAAGGCATTCTTTACTCTTCCTCCGCTGCAGTTGTGTCTTCATGTCTTAACTCCCTCTTTAAAGATCCTTGGTCAGGGACCTTTGTATCCCTTACTACTCAGTGCCTTGAACAGAATAAATACTTATTTAAAAACTTCAGTGAAATGTGACTTAATTTGGGGCTACACAGTATACACCAATAATTACAATACCACTCAGTTGAGGTCAGTGGGAAGGTGGTAGGTAAGTTTAAAACTGAGTTAAGTATTCATTCTAATAGATGCATTACATGCCTACTATGGTCCTGGGACTGAGAAATCAGCAGTGAAGAAGGCCTGGACTAAAATTTAAGGAGCTTCTAGCCTAGTAAAGGGCAGGATTTTGAGCTTTGTGTTGAGATGGTGAATTAGGAGAAGGGAGGAGTCGAAGGGTTTCCAAGATAAGATGGTTGCAATTGATCAGAAAATATAGAGCACACACACACACAAAAAGAAAGAAAATATAGAGCAAAAGGAGAATGTGGCCATGTTCCTGTTCCCCTGGCAGATCTTGAATTTCCTTCCTGAGAACCTATTTTTGGGGGGAGACATGTAGTGTCAATAAGACTTGGCACTCTTGCTCACATCCACAGAAAATGACCTTGCCTTTCTACTCAAAACTATTCCTTCTCTTTCCGCATGTTTGCATCTTCCATGCTCGGTGCACGCTCCATCCAGTCTGTCTGTCAGCAATACCTACTACAAGTTGGGCTCTCGGCTAGGCCCCAGACTACAGTAAAGAACCTTGCTCACCAGGGATTCATGGACACGATCCAGTGAACAGGCCATGATAAACTGTGTGTTAATTCCAGGGTGCCAGCCTGAAGAGTTGGAGGAGGCTTCCTGTTGGCAATGACCCCACTAGAATCGGTTCTTGATGATTGGACAAGAGCTCTGTCACCAGAAAGAGTGAGGGGGCCTGCTTTCTACCGAACAGCTGGTGAATAATCACAAAGCCTATGAGCCAGAATACCCTGATCTGACTCCACTTTATCCCCATCTCCCTTCTCCCTTCAACCAAGACCCATTCACCACCCCTTCCCCAGCCCTGGCTGCACTGCTTGACCACATTAAGACTTGGCCTGAGATGGAGGAAGAGTGAGGAAGCTGCTGCACCAATGTGACTGACTGAAGCTTGACCAAAGCCCTAAAAGGAAGTGGATAGGTGCCTTATCCAAGAGGGTACAGCAGCCCAGGTCTTATCAGGAGGCAGCAGCTTCCTTACTCCTTCCCCCACCGCTAACCAAGTCATTATGTGCCACAGTAGTGCAGGCAGCTGTGCGGGAGGAAGAGGGGCCATAGAACTGTGGGCTAGAGTGGAGGTGTACAGACCAGCTAGTTCATGGTTTTACTATCCCAAGCAGAAAGCCATGATGGCTTAGACTTGCATGGTGGTAGTAGAAATGGCGTGAAGATTCAAGAGACATAGTTGAGAGGCAGAACCAACAAGACTTGGTGATAGACTACTCTCAGGAAAAGGGAGGAGTCATAGCTTTCAGCCATCAGCATCCACCCCCAGGGTAGCCTCACCCCCTTCCCTTCCTGGCAATCCTAGAAACCAAATGGGTCCAGGGCCAACAGCCCTGTTTTCCGCCTACTGTTCAGTAAGTGGGTTCAAGTTTGATAAGAAAAGACTTCCTGTGGTGGAAACTGAAAGGAAGAGGAAGGAGTTAGTCCATTCCTTCCAAGAAGGTTGTGGGAGAAGGAAGATGGCCAGAGCTTTGTGTCCACTTCATGCCCTCTGGCTTCTGGAGTGGGTGCAGATGCTCTTGGGACCCGGTGCTGCACCGCCAGCCTGGGCCTTGAACCTGGACCCAATGCGGCTCACCTTCTACACAGGCCCCAATGGCAGCCACTTTGGGTTTTCATTGGACTTCTACAAGGACAGCCATGGGAGGTAAGCCCTGGGGGAAGTTTGGGTGTTGGGAGAGAGAAAGATTCTCCCACCATCACTGCTTCTGTGGACCTCAAGTTCCCCATTTGTGATAGAGGTTGGGCAAAGTGACTTCTAGGGTCTATTTGGCTGAGTGCTTGTTAGGAATACTGGGGAGGAACCTGCTCAGGCGAGGGTATCAGAAGGGGACACCAAAGAGGAGGTAGGCACTGAAACTACAGCAAAAACAAAAGTTGATACCTTATTTTTTCCTCCAAGGGTCACTTGTATGACCCACTCCACTGCCATCCCCTCAAACTACAGAGAGAAGTGCGAATGTCTTAAATTGACTTGCAAAACTGTAAAACGATCTACTCACCTTGCTTTTCCACTCCATTTCCCTGATCCCCATAAAAATTATAGATATTTGAGAAGAAGCAATAGAACATTAGTGCTTAGGATTAATCAGGCTGTGAGATCAGATTGCCAAGATTACAGTCCTGGTTCCTCCTCTTATTATAATAACTCCCCTGAGCCAGTTCCTTCTGGTGGTGGACACTGTGCTGCCCAGCTTTGGGGAGTGGCAATGGCAGACCGCATTCAAGCATCAGCCCCCTGGTGAATTTCCTCCGCTGAAGAGAGCCACCACCCCCAAAGCCAATCCCCTTCCCAATGTGACCTACAACTAATGACTGATCAATGAGGAATATGGAGGGAGGTGAGAGGTGTAAGGGTCCAACCAGAACTCCCAGGGTGTTTGTGTAGCCCATGGCTGTCATTGGGCTTGAATCTAACCTAACCCCTTCCCCACTTTTGTTTTTCCCCTTCTATCCACCATAGTGGTCTCATGGGCACTACTTAATGTGACCCAGTGTCCCCCAAGGCACACCCCTCTTCGGGGTAGTGCTCCCTGCGCGGGCACGGGGGTACCCCGGAATCCGCTCCGTGCTCACGCATTTTTTCTATACAGCGTGGCCATCGTGGTGGGCGCCCCGCGGATCCGAGGCCGCAGTCAAGAGGAGACTGGCGGCGTGTTCCTGTGCCCCTGGAGGGCCGAGGGCGGCCAGTGCTCATCTCTGCCCTTCGACCTTAGTGAGTCCCAGGCAAGGAGGGGAAGGGAGGAGCTACGGGGAGCGTGCACAGCCGGACTTCATCGCCCCATCCCTCCTTGTGCCTCCAGATGATGAGACCCGAACAGTAGGCTCCCAGACCTTCCAAACCTTCAAGGCCGGGCAAGGACTAGGGGCGTCGGTTGTCAGCTGGAGCGACAACATTGTGGTGGGCAATGCGGGACGGGACACCCCAGAAGTCGGGGGCAGGGACACGTTGTGGGTGGTGGGACCTCAGTCCGCCTCCTTCCCACTCTCCTGTGGCCCTGCCCAGGCCTGCGCCCCCTGGCAGCACTGGAACGTCATAGAAAAGACGGAGGAGGCCGAGAAGACGCCCGTGGGGGGCTGCTTCCTGGCCCAGCTGCAGAACGCGGGCCGCGCGGAGTTCTCGCCTTGTCGCGGCAACACCATGAGCCGGGTGCACAAGCAGCAGGACCACTGTGAGCTCCGCTCTCCATTGGGCTCCGCCCAACGCCCGGCCACTGAGCCCAGCCCTTCCCAGCTCCCAGCAACGCCTCCCACCCCACCCGCTACCAGCAGACTCAAGGCCACGCCCCTATGTTACCCCGTGGCCCGCCCTGCCCCAGGTTCAGGGCCCGCTTTTACTTTTTGTTTTCTTATTGATTGATTTTAAAGAAAGGGAGACAATCATGGCGTGCTGTTCCACTTATGTACGCATTCGCTGGTTGATTCTTGCCCTGACGGGGATCCCACCGGAAACCTTGGCGAAAGGGGGAGGATGTGCTAACCAACTGGGCTACCCGCTAGGGCCAGTGCAGCTTCGCCATCCGCCCTCCTGACCCCCCTCCTTGCCCCCTGCTGACCCTCCTCCTTGCCCCCTGCTGACCCTCCTCCTTGCCCCCTGCTGACC